TAAATTTACTATAAAAACATATGAGTAGGTTACAATCCATATATTAAATTTACTATAGATCGGTACCATTTCGATATCACTTCGATACCAGTTCAGTACTTTTTCGGAACTCTAATCCTAATACAATGGACATCCCTTAACAGAATATAACAGAGATGGAAAAAGGAGATAGCAAACCATGACAAAATTGATTGGAAAGGTTTCTGGCAATATAATAATAACAAAGGATCACTAACTACCTTATTCAAACAGATGAAAGAAAAAACATTCAAAATTAAGCTCTTATATAATGAACTGCCAACCTTGAACAATCTAGTCAAGCGAAATACCCAAGAACTAGTAGCAAATATTAAATGTGTTTCTTGTCTAGATTATAAAGAAACAGTAGATTACTTGATAACTTATAACAAACTCCAAAAAGAAAAAAACAGAATATGGAAAAATATTCTTAACAAGCTGTGTATATCCTGGATTACAAAGCACACCAATAAAGATAAGAAAAAAGCCAAATGGAATCTAACACCAATTTATAGAATAATGGAAAAATGGAAAGTCAAAAATTTGTCTTTAACAAAAGAACTAATAAACATTGGTATGGGATTGTGAACAAAAAAAGAAATACTAGAGTGGACTCAGATATGTCATGCACTCAATATACACAAAGCAGCAGCCCAAAAAATCTTAAACAAAATATCTCAAGGCTGAAGTAATGAGTTTTGTCAACAAATTTGAAATACAAGATGTGAAAAAATCTATAACCAGAAGAAAGCACATGACAAAGGAAAAGAAAGAAAGACAAATTACAACTCAAGGATATTAAGAGAAGTCTTCAAGTCCAAGAAAAAACACAGACCACAAGAAAAGGAAAAGGAGACAATAGCAATATCGGCAAACACAAGCCCAGTAACCAAAGGTAACAAGATTTCAGAAATCCTTTTACAGACCTTATGGAACAAGATAAAGGAGGGATTCAAATGGTTAGGAATGTAAAGTAATCAAGATTTTGCCAAGGTGAACTGTAGTGATAAACTGCAGGCAATGAACTTAAATCCTCTTAGAAATGGAGAAAATGAGTGAGCAACATTATTCATCTCCAAGATCATACTTAGAGATTAACAATCAGAGACAGGTATTCAAGTATTAGCTTAGTTTATGCATAAAAGTTTCACACTTGTATGTTTTCAACTCCAATGATTAAATAAACATAATAAATACTTGTTTGATTACAGAAAAAAAAAATAATAAATAATAATATTAATAAATACATTATTATACAATTTGATAAGAAGTAATAATAATAATAATACTTATTAAAAAATAATATATAATTCAAAATTTTTAATTTGATTTAGTTTCAATTATTCATATTGTATATTCGTTATCTTATATATTTTTAAAAATTGTTTATTTTATATTGTACTTATTTTTAATACACATTATATTTTACAAAGATATAAAATAAATATTAAGTTATTTATTTAAATATTTATTAAATATTAGTTAAATTCATTAAAATACTGTATATACTAAATTTATGCTACATATTTTGCCAAAAATATTTATTTCTTTAGTAACGTGTACGGTAATTTGCCAATCTACTGTACAATACAATCCTGGTAATATAACATATTACATAAAGAATCAATACCAATTAATCTAAAAAATAAGTTTGATTAGAATAATCAAAGGAATATTCCTTGTTGTCAGGAAGATAATTTGTATGTAGACTAGATCTACCATATAAAATAATTCATACGAAATAATCAAAATGAACCAAAATTGATTTTTTTATTTATATGCAAATTTATCCGAACGTTGAAACGAATTTCGTATCCTAGAACGCATATTATTTTTCAATAAGAATTAGAGCAATAAAGAATAATACTATTAATTCGCTTGCAATTAAAATAAAAAAAATTTGGGGATCAAATTTTTAAAAAATAACTATCAAAAGCTATATACATAAATTTTAACCTGCAAGTTTGAATCCAATTATCAGAAGTTAATAAAAAACATTCTAATATATATTAGGTAATTAAGAGAAATAATGGCATAATGCAGATACACTTTCCAATACCAAAACAAAGGCTAAACCGATGAAATTCTTTCGGCTAGCATCGAAAGCCCCGCGAAAGCAAGAGTTCATCAAAGTTTTTATCAATCTAGTTCTGTTCAATTATTTTTGAACAAAAGACGGGTCTCGTGCTACGAGAATATCAGATATGAAGTTACAAATCCAGTCGTTTTGAGTTATTTTTCTTCCAGCTTTACTAAAACAGCTTCTAGATCTTCTTCTGGTACGACTGGCCCATTTCCGGAACATCTTGCTTTCGATTTTAACTCGGCACAAAGTTGATCAATTTCATCCCCCTCCAGATCATCAAACTTCGGATGTTGTTGGATTCTTTCCCATACCTTTGTACACGGCAAAAATTTTTTGCTTTTGTCATCCAATGAAACAAAACCACATGGTTTATTTTCATCAATCGGCGTTGCCATTGGTGCATAGCTGCCAAAATCCTGGAGATTTTCTTCAAATAACGGAGCTAAAGGAGTTGACTCAGAGAAAGGGTTATCAACATTTGTAATGAATGGTGTGGGATCACGATATTCAGTGAATGCAGAAGATAGTCTGTTTGAAGATTCATTTTCATCATTTCCCTGACATATTCCATCTGTAAGCTTCTCACAGAACTCTTCGGCATTTTTGGGTTTAGATGAATGTGATTGTACTGGTGCCGATACAGGTGCAGATGTGGTGGTAACTGATATGGAAGGATCATAACTATTAAATATTAATGGTAATATCTGAGGTGAACTTTTTTGCGATGAACTAGATCCATTATTGACTGTATCAGATTCACCAACTGGTGTTGGGTTTGGCGTACTTGGTTCGTCATCACTCGCATTCGATGACGGAGGGGTGTAGGGATTAAGAGTGTTCTCACTAGGGGTCGAAGACAGTGTAGATTTTACAGCCTGAGGCGACACGAGATCCGTGATATCCTTATCGATAACAGTTGTTGATTCATCTGTCTTGGTTAGAGGAAATTCAAAATTAAAACTGGTTTGTTTTAGTATGAAATTTTCATCCTGTAATTTTTCAACAAGCGTCTTTAATTTTTGATTTTCTTGTGCACTTTTTGCTGATAAGGATTCAAGTTCTTCAATCTTAGTCTCAAG